CAAACTATGCGTTATGATCGCCTCTAACTCATTCTTAGCAGAAAACAAAGATAGAAATGAGGTTCAAGAGATCCTATACCTCTGTACTGTGAACATAGCAAAGGCAATCCTTGCCAAGCTCTACACAATAGCAACTGTCTAGTGCTCCTTGCAGCATCTCTTTCATGAATGAACATAACCTTACTGTGGGCAAAATCACATGTTAAATTTTAGGACAGGAAAGATCTCAAAATTTAAGTTTTACCTCAGAAGCCATCACAGAATTTTTCTATGGTGACTCAACTACACCAACCAGCAATTCCACAAACAAGGCAAGTATGAGTATGGAACAATGACGCTATCTTATCTCTGGATGCTTGCTTTAGTAAGGGAAATTATTACAACATGCACTGGCTGATATTATCCATGCAGCTATCCACTAAAAGATTCAATCAGATTTTCCTGTAGTCTACATATCACTAACAGACTTGTTAGCAACAAAATTCTTACTAATGCATGAGCCAGAAAGGGCACAGACTGTTGTTCAGCTTCTAGGACCTGGCAATAAGATATATGGGGGGGAGGGTGGGAAACCACCTTTGCTCAGATTTGAAAATGATAACTAACATTGGTCCCTACATCACCAATTTTTTGGTATTCAGTTTTCTGAGAATAGCACTTTAGCTCCAAGGAAACACAAATCCAGCTCTCTCAAGAATTAATATATCGTAGAAGCAATATATTGTTTTGAGATACAGCATCTTTAAGAGCGTTCTGCCCTCTGAAAACAATTATTTATTCATTCTTATTTCCCTTCATGTTTTCTTGTTGTATTCAATTTACAATTTTTTAAAGTTATGTAAGAAGAAAAAAATTTTAAAAATCAATGCAAAAAAGCAAAAAAACCCACCCCCCACACCCATGTGCTTAAAGTGTTTTCTAAGCACAGTTTTTGCTGGTTTAGAAAACGTTTAGGTGAGCGTTTGAGCTCTCCTGTATAGTCAAACAGAAATTCTGAGTAAACTTCTCAGAAATGCCAGTAAACTAGACCCACAGAGCAGATTTTTAAAGCACCTAGTTCCTACTTGTCTGGTTTTCCTTGCAAAATCTACCACACTGCACTAAGCACTTAAGCTGCAATGGGACACCTGGGAGCACATTGCTGAAAATGCAATTATCAATTGCTGGAAAGCTGATCTTGAGCTACAAAAATATTAGGTTATGGGAAATGTTGAGAACTAGCTGTGATTTAACTCTCTTTCCTCTTAGGATTAGTTGACTGCTTATGGATGTCAAAGATGTTACTATTCAGAAACATCTGAACAACTTTACGGAGAAATAGAGTTCAGTGAAATTGCATGCTGGAATCTCATTCTAGGTGAATTTTGTAGATTACAAGTTTACCACTAAAATGTATGTGTGTGTATGTTCCCATTCTCCCTCATCCCTTCGTGTATTCCCTGCCATGAACTCTTTCTTTCATTTTGGTGTTGATCAGGTCCTACTCTGAGCTTCTTCATCTTTCTCATTCCGTAATAAAAGACCTCTCTCTGGCAGGACACCATGACTCAAGTCTTGTATAGGCCTACATTCTCAGATTCTTTCTACGCACTTGTGGCAGGAAAAAAAATAAAATCCTTCACAGAGACAGCACATTGGACCCAGTCCAGCTTCTCCAGTGAAGCTGCTTAAGGGGTAAACACTTTATCAGTAGTGTGAAATCTGAATTCAGTACCTTCCTTAGCCTGAAAACATTAAAATCCACCTTTCTTAATCACTAGAATGGTGGAGCTTCCCCATCGACTCAAAATTGCACCAATACAATAGAAAATATGAAGGACTACTCTACAAATACATTACATGATCCCACAGGCTCCTAAGTGGGGCTGTCTTTGCACAAAAGAAAAAAAAAAACACAACCCACACCAAAAAAAAAATTTTTGTCAATCTGTGTTTATGTTACTTAAGTAACTTAGACACTTCTGAAAATTCTACCTGCATCACTAATACAAAGATGTGACAGAAAAATCACGATCAATCGTTTATACACAAAAGTATGCACGTGACTAGATGACAGATTCTACTTTGATGTTAATGCCAAATGAGTTTAAAAGAATTAATGTGGATGAAAATTCTCTCTCAAGGACCAGCAGCTTGTGGGTTGATGTGGGGAACTATCTTTGCTTGGAACTATAATCAAAAAGAAGTACCCTTTCACACTGACAAATGCATTGTGTGGAATAATATAATGATTTTCTGCACAATTGATTTATAAAAGGTTATGCCTAGTGCACATATACAAAATATACATATTAGAGCTGGCAAAGGATTTTGTTCAGTTGAATTCATATTACCACAATCCTCCTCTTCATCAGTTATTGTTTGCACTGACATCCAATATGTCATTTCTAAGGACTCCCTGCTTCTATCTGGCACTAGTGTTTGCCAGAGTGGCATTCAGACATCTCTGAATACTGAGGGCCGCCCAGCAAACAAAGACTGTCCCAGAAAGGGGCTAATCAAAGGAATCTTTTAGCATCGTAATTAAATTGACAAAAAAAATATTAATTACCTACAGCATAGTTACTGCTGTACCTCTTTTTTCCATGTGCTTTTCCCAGTGCTTTTTCTGTTACTGCTGGTCTGGGTAGGTCTGTTTCAGTATGCAATTATTTCCACCCACTACTTTACACAGAGCTGTAAGAACTTACAGAAGTTCTAGCTCTGCAAGTTTTAAATCTTGTAGGTAATAGTGTAGACAGACATGCCAAAATTTCACCAAATGTATCTTTTCACTGAAAATTACATCTGCTGGTGGAACAGGCTTTACTGTTTGACAAATGAAAAAAAAGTTTCATAAACTAAAAGTGAAACCTGAAACAAAAAATTGAGCGGACTATTATATGATGCATCCCCAAGTTTTCAAACCCAAGGCTTGAAGTAGATCTGATTGGGGAAAAAAAGAAGTACTTTCTTAATTACAACCAAGAAACATATGGTACATATGATTAAATTAATTCACATGCATAAATAATGTCCAGTTCCATAACTGCTCTGACTCACTGTGCATTCTAGAAGCTAACAAGACAAGTTATTTCATGATTTTCCTGATACTATGATTCTGAACCTCCTAATTGCCAAGAATGTGGTCTTACTAAAAACCACTATGTCACAATTTAGAGCAGATCCATTATATACATGTATATTTTTTTAAAAGTTACATGAATGTGTTAGAATACTTGCATTCTTGGTTCCTCTTAAATAAACTTTTAAGAAAGGGAAAAGAACACCTATAAAGTAAAAAACAAGGTGATAGTAGTTTGGAAGAAATCCAAATGTTCCTAGCTACAGAAAATTTGCCAGTGCTGCTAAACAAAGTCAATGATCATTGGCAGAGTCAACGTTTGGAAAAACTTCAATATGAAAACAGGGTCAGCATAAAAATCAAGTAACCTAGTACCTACTCTTTTTTGAAGTTTCCCTTTTTAAAATGGCATAGCACTTCACGGCATTTCAATGTAGCAAATATAATTATTTCTTTGAAGCCTGATGATTCTGCTTTTTGTCTCACTATGTGTGAAAGGAACATGACCGCCACATAAGCTGGTCTGTCATTTTCATACAGATAGATATTCACAACACAGCAGTAGACAAAGATATAGATACATATGGATAGAACATTAATTTTAAATGTCTAGGAAACCAGATTATCCTGAATGGTTAATATTTTACATTCCAAATGCAAAGTTAATGTATTAAGGCTATTACAATTCTAGATGCTATAAAATGGTTTCAGTAGAATGGTCATGTAAATTGAAACGAAAACTGATGTCTCTTCAGACTGGAAATTGAGAGAAAATTTGCCCCCAGATGAGAAAATCCCTATCCAGTCAATGCATCTGTCAGTCAAACTTGTTTCTTCCTAGTTATGTGTCTTGAAAGAGCAGGGATATAGGTCATTGTCAAAATGAGAAAGCAGCTCTTCACAGATGAGTCTTAACCTGTCTGCCAGTTTGTGTAATCTGAATTATCTGTTCAAAGATATCCTTCTGTTCACCTGTACTCTCCATTAGCAACAGAAATACTAATTAAATTACAGAATGTAGGAAATGTATGGCCCTCACTGGTGCAATAGCTAGGTTTGTCTAGCACACAGTGGTAGAACTTGTTAATCTGAAAAAACAGAATAAAACGTACACGTTCTCTCCTCATCCATTTCTCTTGAGTACACCAAGAAAACTTGACTTGAAGATGCATAGCTTTGGTAACTGGCTTCTTAGCATGGCTCTTCACAGGTGTTACACACTGATGTGACAGTGGAAAAGACTCAAAGATTGCTCCATATGAATACACAGAACCTATAGGCCTCCGTAACATGGGACACTCAGGAAAATTAATTCTAATTAATTTGTACAGTGGATTAGTTAAAAATCAAAATATTCCTTTGTCAATATTCTCACAAGAAATTAAGAGGCGAGTTTAACTTATTTAGGTTAATTCACTTCACTTGCAGTGCTGCAAGTATTTAACATTGTTTAAGTGATCCCCCGTAAAACTCACACTTTTGGTAATTTAATTAAATTTACCTGAGTATCTAAGTATAGACAAGACATTAAAAAGGAAATGGTCATTAACTACCACTTCTCTGTAAAATACGAAGGATACAACTTCTCTAGCTTTGTTTAATCATAGACATCCTCAGTTAATGAATAAAGGCTCTGATGTACTTAGTTGAAATGTAGTCTTGCATGAATTCTATTCAGCTGGGGGAGAAAAGAGAGGGAAGTCACCTCTTCTTCTAGAGAAATGACCAAATGAGTTATGATCAGGCACATATTACTGTATCTGCCAAAGAACATATCCATGGGACATCAGAATAAACTTAAAATAAACTGCACAACTTTATGAAATGTTCAATTTTTATATTTACACTATAATTAGTACAAAATTGCCTTTTAAGTTTTCTGTAGCACAAGACAGTATCTACTGGACTTGATACCCTAATATGTCAAAACAACTACTTTAAAGTATGATAAAGGAATCTAGGAAGAGTTATAAAGAATAAGACACCATTTTCAAACTATACATAGTGTTTGCTTTTGCTTCTAAAAAGGTACTTATATCCCCAAAAGGTTTTTAGTTTTAAATAAGCAGGGCAGGCAGGGAGGGGCAGGGGGGAAGACTGGTTGTTGGTACTAAAGACTTTACTGTAATAAACTAAATATATTTACAATTTATACAAATGTTTGACCTTCAACAAAAATACAAAAACATATCAGAAGATGCAAAACCAGGAAACAAGTTCATCTGAGACACCACTGTTCTACACAGGACAGAATGCAACTTGAACTGCAAGAAACAGAAAGGTATTTATCCCCCATATTCAGGCAATGAGAACAATTTGCATGAGGTCACAAAGAAAGAAAAAAATAAAAGGCTCCAACATTCTTCAGTAGACTCGGCTTTTAAAACCTTTGTCAAAAACCTAGGCTACATCTGTCCATCTTGCCTCTGTGTTCCGTTTGGTCCACGTAGCCAATATTTAGTTGCTGGATGTTGCCTTCTATTTTGAAAAATCGGAGTAGTTTCATGGCAAGGTCTGGAACCTCAATACTTTTGTTCCTTTTTAAAAGGCAAAACCTTTCTACTTCTACAATTAAAAACAATTTTGGCCCAGTTCAATTTCTAAAAGTTATATCCCCATCATATTTTTCAGTAGATAACTTCATAGACCGTAGCCTTTTTGTCTCCAGAGCCAGTGACTATGTACTTATCATCCACAGAGATGTCACAGCTAAGCACTGATGAAGATTCTTTGGACTAGAAGAAAAATAGAAATATATTACATCATTAAAAAAAAAGTCTGTTACCCTCATCTCAGCATCCCATTTTGGGTAGATTACATAGGTGAAGATATCCGAGTCCACTCTTGGGACTCTGGGTGTTCTAGTTTTTTCTTTAAAAGCATTATCCTCCTTACCTGGAAGATACTGGCTCCATAAGGAGTTCTCCATGCATTAAGAAGGTTATCTTTCCCAGTACTCACAAACCATTTACCTAGAATATAAAACAGAAGGACTATGAAAACATATGAAACAGACATCTGACAGATTTTGGGTTTTCAACTCACATCTACGTAATCCGTTAACTAATTACCATTATAAAAGCTCTCACCACTAATCAACATAGTACTTTTTTGCTTACAATCAATGTGGACACTCATGCTTTTGCAGTGTATTACATACTGGGAAATCCCTACACTCTGTAAGTAGAAATAGCTTTTTACACACAAATCAACCCTCACAGCAGCCTTTAGACGAACAGATGGTTGTTTATGTAGATAAGTACGTTTGAATTCATAAAGCAGAGATATTTATTCATAACTTAAGAAACTGAGATACTAACTAAGTTTTGATTATCAAATGAGCTATGACTATGTAATAACTAATCACCAAAGCAGGAATTAGAGCCCTGACCTCCACTTCTGTATTCAGGGCAACTTACCACAGTAAGCAAACTTGAGTGACAATACACAGCTTTCATGAAGGTGCAGTTGATATTTGTCTGGTTTATTTACATGTAGCACTTCTACGTTGCTGCTCTCCATTCCCACAGCTAGCCATTCACCAGTAGGACAATAACCAAGGGAAAATATCTGAAAATTAAACCACATTTACACTTTTTATTTTTTCTCCAGATAAACTTTTTATTTTTTTCTACAGTGGTTAAATTAATTGGGAGAGGGAGAGAGAGAAAAGGGCCAAATAAAATTCACATATTTCAATAGCAAGACTGCTGTTCAAAATTCAAGCAACTAAATAACCCCCTTTCTTACCTATTAACTAAGAAAAATAGGAAGAGAGAGAACATATGAAAGCTCCAAAATATTGTGTTGTGAGCAGCCAAAAGGAAGAGGGAACAATCTGCCAGTTGCACTGGGCTCAATCTCAGCTTTCATCCTAAATGTTTCCCTCCCACTCCACCCCTGCACTCAAGTTGTAGGAAAATCCAGTTACCTGTGATGTGAAGTCATGCTGTTGTAGCTGTCTCCCCTCTCTCAAGTCCCAGGATCTGACAGTGTTATCCAAACCTCCTGTCCAGAGCTTGGTACCATCATTAGAAATGTCAATACAGCTGGCTCCGTCTGTGTGGCCCTGGAATTGCCTGATAAAACAAACCAGATTGAATAATGATTTCCTGCCAGAGCTCAAGGTAAACACTGTTGTGGTGTTAGTTTTGGACTCTGTATGTGTGTGTCATCTCTTCTGTGTCTGCTGATGGGCAAAAATCAGCCCCTCCCTCTTACTGAGCATGAAATATAACAGTATTACAAAAACATTTTCCAGGTGCTAGAGAAATGAATTGCATCATGGCTAGCTGAACAAAGTCAAATATTTCCTATCAGGTTTTGAAAAGAAAAAAGACAACTCAGATTAAAACAAGTGCTGAGGGAACAAAAATCCTCCAGTTTCAGAAAACAGCTTCTGTATTTTTCTTTGGCTGCAAGTCAAGATGATAAATAATAAGCAGAGATATTAGTAGGAAGGGGTTCAGACAGAGATCCAAATAGTTAAACACAGGCATTGCTGAGTCAGCAAAGCTTCATTCTCTGTGGCAGGAGATCACAAAAATCCAGGCGGTGCAGTTTGTTTTAAAATCTTCTCACTAGTAATACTCAGCTTTCAGCAACCAGAAGGTCATCTCAAGTTTTCCTTAATCCTTTGGCAAAAGCCTTCAGGGGCTCCTGCATTTCTCATCAGCAATTAGCTTTAGGAAAGTCCTATGCCTCAATGTGAAAGGGGGAGGGGGTGGGGAGGAGGAAGACAACTAGCTTGGGAATGAAGCACATGAATCACTAAGAGCTGCCACAGAAAGGTCAGGCGGCACATTGTGTTTTGTAGCTCTGGTCTCAAAATTCCATGTGTTATCAATTAACAAGATCAGCCAGCAAGTGGTGGGAACACCTACAGCAAACATTCAAAAAGCAAGACAGTCATAGACGAAGAGAGTGCACCTTTACAGACACTAAGTGTGCATAGGGCAAACTGCAGATTTTATATAACTGAAATCATCTTTGTTGACCTCGAAGTTCAACAGAAAGTAAAATTTGCATGCACATTAATATGACTCTCTGCACATAAGTTTAGACTAATTATTGATATACAGGCACTTTAATTGAAACACAGCAGACTAAGCAGATTCTTCAGTGTTTGTGTTCAAACTTTTAAAATATCACAGCCTTTCTCACTTTAGGCTCTCTCTTCTCATAATATTGTAAGCCACCACTACTTTGGTAAGCATAAACCAAAATTTATCTTCTAGTAAACCACACAGCTAGTTGCTAAGAGCTGTTTCACACATGGTCCTATCTTTCTTTCTCTGTCATAGCACTAATGCTGAATATTGACCTGCCAGACACTTTAATCTTCTAGTAATATATTCATTAATCAAAGGTCTAACAAAAGATTTCAAAAGTAATTTACATGGCAATGCATTCATTATACTCTTTTCAAGCCATTCTGAAAGTTTTAGAGATCAAATTCCCCCAAAAAACTCAAACACCTTTCTCTCATGAATGACCAAACATCAGTCCTTTATGCTTTCCTAAATAATTGAGGGGATCCACACTTTCAACTGCTTTTGTAACTTTAATTTTATTACTTATCATCACTAAATAAGAACGGAAAATTCTCTTTATTACTTAACAAGGCTTAAGACAAAGGAAAAGAACAAACCTCAAAGAGTTCCCTAAAAGGCATGTTCAGTCTACATCAATCACAAACCAGCAGAAATGCTGCTTGTAGAAACTTGCAGACAAATCCCAACTAATCGAAACCCAACAGGAACTTTTACACTGACTGCAGTAGGTTATGGACCAACCCTTTACGTCCTGAAAGCACATCTTCCAAGACTAGGTTGAAGCTACCAAAACCAGTTTCTGCCCAACTCGTGTGTAAACTGCATTCTTTGAATAAGAAATACTACTTACTTTGCTGTCATGAACCACTATTCAGGGAGATAAGTATTTATGTAGCTGTCCAAAGAGTAACTTCTATTAAAGTTTTCTGTAAACAAGTAATGACTCACCTGACCAATGTCTGATTGTGCAGATCCCACACTGCGATGTTCCCATCACTGCAGCAGGAAAAGCACACCTTGGAATCAGGGCTGATAGCCAGAGCATAGCAGGCAGGGGCTGAGGATGTCAGCTCTGCTTTTATACGAGGAGTTGGTGCTGCCAGGTCCCATATGGATAATGTGCTGGCTTCCCCGCCAACTATTAGGGTGCATCCATCAGGCAGCAATTTACAAGAGCGGATGTAGTTATCTCTGTTCTGTACAACACAAATCACCTCAGTTATGTTAATACGTGCCTGCCAATAATGACCACTAATATGATTCTGACTGCATCCAAGTTTTAAACGTACACTATCTTTTTCCATTACCAAAGTACTGAAGAGAAACCAGCAGATCGTAAAAGGTTTCAAACACCTCCTTCTCATCACTAACCAGAGACTGCAGCTGCAGAAATTAAACTGCAGAATCCTGTTGCCACAGTCTACTCTTGTTTTAAATTTGATGAATGGCAAGTCTTCCATCTCATTACACAAAAACAGAGCTAGCACTCCATCAGCTAAGGTCACCAACAACAGAAATATTAAAGCAAATGACCTTTCATTAGGCATTTAGGCAATCCTATATGAAAATGCAGTTCAAGTCTCATGCCTTTCAGGTTTTGGAGTCTTCTTTCAAATACTATTTTGCATTCACCGTTTTGAAGTTAAAACATTAAGTATTCCCATACTGGGCCTCGATTTATGTTGGTCCTTTGTTGTTCAACATTATTTTTATTGTACTTGTATTATTGGTTTCACATTTGTGATACTACTGCCGATTAAGAGGTACTACAGAAGATTTAGAGGTGGAAAACATTTCAACCTTCACTTATTACAAGCTTGACTCATTAAATTTATTTGACGTCCATTTCTTCATAACAGCTGCCAAATTAACATTATTAACAGTTCTTTAGGAAATGGAGGGTTAAGATTTGTAACTCAAAACATACAAAAAAACCACTGCAAGAAGTAGTCAACAGCTTTCCTACTACTACTACTTTTTTTTTATTCACAGCAAAGGAGCAGTAATGGAAATGTTGGCCAAAGTAGTCAGTCAGTCATTACTGGTCCATAACTAAAATGAAGGCAGCTAGGACTGTCCCCCCACCCACATCCCTGCCACAGAACACAGCACATATTCAACCATACTTTTACTACTAGACAACTAACATAAGGGTAGCAGTAAATAAAGGGTAAAGGCTAAAAAAAAAAAATATCAAAACAAAACACCCACCACATTTAATTGGATCAACATTGACGCTAGAATTATTTTCATTCAGCATATATATTACTGTGCTTTACGACATTAAGTCTTCTCAGTTAACATCTCACAAACATCTATGCTGCTTCTAAACGAGAAACATCTTTTACTGAGCTGTTAACTTTTTCGAGTTATATTTTCAGCTACCTATACTACCACACTCAGTCTCTTTTGTATCCTGTAGATATGAAAACAACCAACCAAAATGTGTAACTTGTGGATCACCAACAAAAGCATAGCAAGACTTACAGTGACCGTGGTACCATGTCACATTATTTCATTATGTGGTTGGTACCCTCTTAGAAAAAAAAGAGGTTGTCCCTCCTGGTGTGAGAGAAACACTGAGGAAGATTCTCTACAGCCCTGCATAAGCCAGGCTACATTCCTTTTAAACTCATGCACAAAAATCATCATCATGACTAGAAGGAAAAAAAAAAAGAGGAAAAAAAAAAATCACATATGCTTTCTGCTCAGAAATCTTATCTAATCTGTTATTTGACCCTTAGTGATGATATTTATCCCTGAACAAACCAGCACTCTTCTCTGTAACTCCACCTGTTACATGTTAAAAACAAAAAAAGACAGCTAAATACATAAAGCAGGAAACAGAACTGCCTGCTATTTCCTTGTAATATGAACAAAATCCAGACAAGGACAGCTATTTCCTTATTGAATGTCTCCAAGGAGAAGCTACCCTTGTGCACAAATTCCTGATCACATACCAGGCAGTCCAGCTGAGAGACAGGGCTCTTGTTGCCAGGCTGGCTGATGTCCCAGACTTTGACGCACCCCTTCCCACCCGTGTACACGTGTCTCGTGGGGTTGCTGATGGTAACTGCACACACAACTTCCCCATGGTTCAGAGTGTTGATCTGACGGGCATGGCGAGGGATTCCTGGACCGATGAGGGCATCAGGAGGGAAAGGAACCGGCTGCATCTGACCATCTGCAGTAACATGAAAGGAGTAGGCTCTTTCGGGGAAGGGAGAGAAGAGAGAAGACAAAAAAAATCAGCCAGTTACAGTGCTATAATGCAAGAAAAACATAGTATTTTTTTATTTTATTTCTTTGCCAAGCTTTTTCTCATGAAAATCAGAGCTACAGTGCCAAGTAATGCAGGCACATGAAACCTCAGAAGACAAGGATTCACAATAGATATTTTCAGCTTGCCTCACCTAAAGTATTCGTGCGGTGGAGAAGTACACTAAATTCTACCCTTAACTCTACAGACCAAGGCCATGGCTGCTATCCCTCAGCCACCTGGATAATCAAATGACCTTTCAGCCCCTGGTTTCTAGCCAGCAGTTCCAAGTCTCAGCACCACAAGTCCTGCAGCAGCAAGCCCTCACCAGGCACTACTCTTTCAGCCCTCTTCCATGGGGCTTGCACCTGTTGCCTTGCAGTAGCACTAGACAAAGTTCAACTTTTGCTCTGTTTCTGCACCCCATCTTTAACATCAGCACCAGCTGTGCTCACATGCCTCTCTTTCCAACTGGTAACTAGTGCTTTAAACAGAAAATAGAAACATGAAGAGTGGTTGCACACACCTTTCATCAGAAAGCCGATACCATCTTCTCATAATTATGTTTTCTTGAGTAAGTATTTTGGAAAAGCTGAAAGGCTCAGTTTCCCAGGTAGCTTTGGCACTTCTGCAACACTTTTTATTTGTATTCAGTGCATGATTTCAAGTATATGGAAACAGAGTTGAGGAAGTGAATCCCAGCACTGAATAAAAACACTCCTCCTTGGGGAAAGTACACAAAATGTTCACTGTAATGTTTAAAGTCAGCTCTACTCAAGGACCAGGGCACAAATAGCAGCTAATAAAGGTTTCAGGTGCAGGGAGTTTTCTTTGTTGGTTTGTTTTAAATAATAATGAAAACACTACTGCAAAAGGCTGCTTTTTGTTCTACTGGTGAGCTCCTTTTTTGCTTCTTCTGTTATAAGCACATCCACAGGTCACGTTTTTGATGCTGCTGTTACATTAATAGCATTTTTCGAGGCCAAAGTGGATAAAAAATGGTGACATATGAGTATCCTTTTTTTTTTTTTTACTAATGAGCTACCATCTTCCTAGTGATACCTTTATTTTTCTAATATATTCTTATGTTCAGAATTGCCCTTTCTTTTCCAAATGTACCTTCTTCCTCAGAAATCTTCAGTCACTGTAGCTCAAGTATTAGTACTGCATCCCTCTTCCAAGGACCCAACAATAGATAATTCAATTTAATCTTCTGTTCTGAGCTCTGAGCTAGTATTTTCGAAGTATTTTATTGCATGTTTCCAAGTATTGCACAGTTTGAAAGGAAGGAACAAGCAAGGTGCCTGGATCCCTAACAGACATCACAAAGCAACTGAGTATGCCCAGGAGCAGAGCAGAAGATATTCCTTTAAAAAAAGAGTGAGAAGTGGAGAGATGAAAGAACTCCACAGTTCTTTCATACAGAAGGTAACAGTGGAAATAGTCACCCCATGCAATATTCACAGTTTTCTCAGAAGGGAAGGGTAAAAACTGGTTAACAGTAACTCCTATTAAACAAAGAAGAAATTAATAACACATATACATGCAACTCCTGTACCTCATCCATGTTTCATGGTTGGACACGTGAGTGGAAAGCCTGCTCCAGGAATTTACAGAAATGGAGAATGAATGAGTACAAAAGATGACAAATCTTTTTGTCACGGAAATGTCAGGAATGGGAAATGCAAGATAAGAAAGGAAGTGCAAAGTTCACTCCCTTACATGTATATAAGATGCACAAGGTATCAAAGGTATTTTTTCCCATGGGACCGTTTCTCTTTTTTTCTATGAAAAATTACAGCAACAATAAAGGCTTAACTAGAAATCTGTATCACTTCTGCGAAGAGGAGTAGATACAGATGAGACAGAGGATGGGTGAGGAAGCAGAAGAGGAGTGGTAACAAGACTGCTTGAGGCTGAACAATTGCTCAGGTTCAGGTACAGAATCCAACTAAAGAGTCATAGCACTTAAGAGGCTGAAAAGCTGGGCCCCATCCTGGGCTTCAGATCAAAGTCAGTTGCAGAATATTTGTTAGCAGTAAGAGTACACAGAACTGCACAACTTTGAAGTCTCAGCCTGCCCTTGCTTTTATCATGGACAGAAGAAAAACAATTAAGCAAGTATTAAGCAATCTTTTCCAGCATATTTAAGATGAATAATCCACTTGTACATGACTTTTTTTTTAATGGAAGGTTACAGCATAAATGTTCTGTTCAATTCAAAATACCTAAATAATTGGTGTTTTGAAATGCTTCTGTGCGTACACACAGCTTTCCAGTTCTTGCTGAGATGGGGTGGGAGGAAGACAATAGGAACATTTTTCAAGTGCTTCATGCACACTGTAGAATTACGATGACTCTTCTGCTCTGAAATGCCAGAGACTTACCCAGTGTACTTTTAATCATGTAGAATTTTACCAGTATGACCGCGTTTAAAATGTGGTTACATAAATCATAAGAGTATTCTCTTTTTTATCATCATGAGCAGGCATTTGCTTCCAAGACTGGCTGGTCAGGACTCAGGATGACTGAGTTTGAGGGCTTAACAAACAGACCAGCGATAGTTTCTGAACAATCCAAGACAGTTTTTCTACGGTGTAAGTTACCAGCAGTCCACTGTGTAAAAAAATGGCTACATATTGCCAAATCCCTCTGCCCCTGCCAAGACAAGTACACAAAAAAGTAAATGTTCCTGTTTGCTTGAAGATGTGTGGCATGTCATGCTAACATCACCACTGTCAGAATACTTATGTGGTCTAGTAACTTGTAGCTTTTATCTACTAGGTATTGTGGTGTAACTTTTCATTACACATACCTTTTACTTTGAAAAAACTTGCATTATTTGCAAGACTGACACTCCCTAGACAAGGAAAGCTTCTGTCTCCAGAAGAACACAGTACTGGAGACAGCAGTGCAAACGACTACAGCTCAGTGCTGTTGTCCTTGGCTACCTCTCTATCAGGTCACCATGATAGAGGGCCTACTCTGCTGCTTCTGGGGAGGACTGTACTTCCAGTGCTACACCTACAAAGCTGTAGATGTACTTACATACGATTAAGAAATGACTCAATTTTTAACGTGCTAGATATATTCACAGGCCTGAATTGTCTAAATTGACAAACATTTTGGTTGTCCAACCTTAAAGGAGTCAATAGTAAAATTTGGTAAATTCTTGAGTTCTCTAAAGCTCAAGATATTTCTTGACAGGCACCCTTTGCCCTCCCATCTTTCTTGTCAACAAATTGCTATTGACATCTGAATTCCATGACACTGCAAAAATTAACATGCATTTTTGTCTTTTTACTCTGATCTTTTAGAACTGAAAGTGTATGCCAGAAACTGCTGTTCAGCTTCATGATGATCATGGATTTCTGTCTCACTCACGGCATTCTACCTCTATGAAATGACTGGGTGCCATGACTAGACATCTTTGATCAAATGACTGTTAGCATTAAGATAGCCCTTCCTCATGTTGGGCTAACAACCACAGCGAACAAAGAAAAAGTTCTTATACAATGCAATTATAATTTAACATAAAACAAGCTAAGTACATATCAATTAGTATGTAAATATATACTTGTAATTAATTCTATATTATGAAAAAAACAGTTACAAGACAAAATTGCATGCCTTTTATTTAGGAAAGTTCTGAAAAACAGTATACTGTCACTTATGATTATGTTCTTTCTGAATAACAGAAATAGTCTTCTGATCTATTGCTTCCAAAGAGTTCTCCTCATTTGTGTCAAAGCAGCACTAAGAACCTGCAGAGTTCCTATACATTACAGTGTAGTAGGTGATACTAATACAACCCAGTTTCTCAGCTTATATCTGTTAATTATGGCCCTCCAATTTCCAAATAAGTATCTAATAAGTATATAATAAATAACTATCATCTGACATGCTGAGGAGAGTTCAGAATAATTAAGTCACTGCCCAAGAACATGGCAAATCAACTAAACTACCTAACTGCCAGCTACTCCTCTAAGTATTCAGATTGATATAATGCATGCAATTCCTGCCTACTTGAAGTACCATGGCTTAAAAAAAAAAAAAAGCTTCCACTACATCCCTCCAATTCAAACAGAATTCCTTAACTAACACAAATACCCCAACTATAAAACACAAAAGCAGATAGTTCCTTGTACTGATGAGTGCATTTTACTTTCAGCTCTTCTTTGTACCCCAGCTTATTTCTAGTTGCAGTTACCACAACAAATAGTGAATATCTGAGTATGGTGTTTCACTATATAGAACAAAATGGCAAGAAATAAGGATAAAGGTATTTGTACAGAAATAACAAAATCTTTAACTTCATACATGTCATCAAATAATTCTACCCAAAGATACAAAGGGAAGAAAAAAACAACCTATTATTCTAGAATATAATAAAATTAGCCTTCCTTTAAAATATTCCTCATTGAACATTCACTGAATAAGTGTGAAGATCAGGAGAGCTGAAATCTTTTTATTTTTTGCCTTGAGCAATTCCAGAACAGTATACTATTCCTTTCCAAAAACACAAAGAGAAGTTGACTTATAACCAGAAACTGAAAGAGTTAACATTTACCACATGAAATTTCCCTTTCCTACTAAAATGAGAAACATGTATTTTTGGCTCTTTCTGGTGTCTGACACCTCATGCTTCAATTAAAAACACATTTGAAAAAAATACTGAGAAATATCTTTGCCCTCAATGCTACCATTAATTCACAATTTTAGACACCAGGGAAGCAATACTGTGGACATAAATGTTACCACTGAGCTTGAAAATCTATGTTCAACGCATAATCCAACTATTAGGTGTGGTTCACATCAAGGAGAAATCCACAAGAACATTAATTTAGCAACTATAGAAGACTAAAAGCTAAATAAGTACCTTGCTAGAAAGCCTACACAAAGCAAAAAAGATGATTACAGCAACACGCCAAGAACTTATAGTCCAGGGCATAGTTAAATTTATCAAAACAACTGAGTGCAAGACTCAGACACCACATGTCCATGTCCAAAACTAGTATCAATTTCCCACCCCCAACCTAAGACAAAGATAATTATTGATTAGGTGATGGCTCAAGGCAATCTGGAAGGAAAAAACACACACACCCCCCAAGAAAAAAAAAAAAAAAAAAACCAACAAAACAAAACCAGAAGAGCTGCTAAGACAAGAATAATCTACTGATGGGACGCAACTTTGAAACCAAGAATATCAAAACTTGTTTTATGCACATTCATACACACATACAGATATCAAGTCCTTGCCCATAAAATTAATTACTAAACTACAAACAGCTGAAGAGAGATAACAACTAATATAAGATTACATGTGTGTACACCAAAATATCAAAGTAATACGAAAAACCTGAAAGGCCTCATAGGAAATAATTTAAGAAAACAAAACAAAAACAAAACACACAACCTGCTACCAAATGCAAAGACTAGCTCATTTGTATAATTAAGAAATTGCTGAAGACACTTTGACTTTCTAGATTGCTACCCAGTTTCCCAAGTACATCTGTACCACTGCTAACAAGGTTAGACTCTGCAAAGAGCAAAACTGAAAGATTCACATTCAGGAACATAAAAAGATGGTAGTAAAGACTTACATTTAATCAAATTACAAAATAAGACAAGCAAAAGACAAACTTTGCAGACAACAGTCCCTTGATAAAAGGAGACAGACAAGTAGGAGTGGGTTCTTAAGAGGCTACTAATTTTTCTAACAAGCTGGTCATTAACAGATGTCAGAATACCCAGGGGTTAAAGAAAACTGGGTGCTATCAGAAATGTCATTCCTTTGGAAAGGAAGGAACTCAATCGTCTCTTGGAAGCAGGGCTGGGTGAATAAAACAGTCCCAGCGTAACCATTGATAAAAACGCGCAGCTTTGAGTACACACATATGGCTGGGGATTCAATAGTTCAATCTGAAAATTCTCTGTACCACTTGCAACAAGACTCAGACTAAAACTTCACATCTCATAAAACAAATTCAATGTGGCACCTTAATTGGTGCCACAAACCAGGAGTACTCCACTAGTTTGCATGATTAGATAACCCATGTACTTTGTACAGAAAATATAGGAGACTTCACTAATGTAGGTAAGAGATACTCAAAGATGCTGCAGGTAGCAGATATTATCTAGCTAGCTGTAGCCAGAGACTAAAACAAGAGATCGTTCTAAAGCTGCCAATGGAAAGGTAACAGATCAGTTTATGGAATTTTAGGTTTGCCTCACTTACTATAAAGATAAACAACGAAGTCACTTTAGAGGAAAAAACTGACTCAGTCCAAGTAACGTGACCACAAAGAAACATTACAGAACACATCAAATCAAGTGGAGAGTAGGGAGTATGTATCAAAGCAGGCAATCTACAGTGTGAATAAAGTGCTGAAAACACTAAATAAAAAGATTAAAAAAAAAACACAAACCACACAGACTGTAATTTAGCTATGAAATACCAGGATACAAAGTGTAGCAGCATACATGCACTGCTTTTGTGCCTTCAATAGTGCAACAACTAGAATTCAGCCACAGAACGTTTCTGACTGAACAAAAACAGGTTTTCATAGCTTATAATATAAAATATTGCCAGGCATTACTAATTGAATAAGTCATTGAAAGTTTATGAATATACTTGTTTAAAGGTAAAAACTTAGAGCTACCGGATTATGCGATCTCCAAAAATATTTTCTAAGTATGCCAAATTTTACTAAAGTCAGCAAGAATGAGTCTGACCCTTAATAGAAGAATGTTTTGAGAACAAAGCCTGTTCCTTACTGTACTAAATTTAAATACACCACCATCTGATACATAACACCAACTCACGGAGCCCTCAGTTCAGTAATCTTGTCAACATACCACCAACTTTTCTTTAAGTAAATCCAAGATTTAACAGTTTTCTCACATTGCCAACAGATAGCTAAGTCTGTTCTCAGAAGCATGGTGGATAACAATGAAAACGCATTCAGGATGACTCTCCTCATCTAAGTCTGCTGCTTTCTTACTGTTACAGAAAAAGAATAGAAGAAAATACACACTTTTTTGCATGTAATCTGGTGTACTTTTAAGGATGTTTGCATGACTGACATTACAATGTATCACTAGCTATTAACAGGCATTCAGAATGAAGGCAAATAGAAATATGTTTGTATACAACTTTCACCACAGTGTGTCTTGTAACTTATAACTTATAACAGTACCCTAAAAGTAATAGCTTCTGAATTTTTCCTGAAGCTGCAAAGGAAAAAATTAAGCCATGATAAATTGCTAAAGAAGACAGTATGTAACAGGGACACCCAGCACAGAAGTGCAAAGCGTTACAGGAGTTTCAAAATTATGGAAGTACCTAGACAGAGAGAAACTACTCTAACTGCAACTTTCTGTTGAAAGAGAAGACAGGACTGAATGCCAAGCGTGAGAGGGCAAAGAACAGGTTCTAACAGCGTGTTGAAAAACGTGTTATAATTCTCTCTGCCCCACTCTCTCCAAGAAAACAGATTAGTCAAATTTGCAGCCTATGCTCTGTTTGTACCTGCATGGACTAGTTTGTCCAGAAATACTTTAAATATAATCACATTTTTTAAGAGGTCATGCCTGTTCATGACTCTACTGCACATGGATAAGCTCAGTCTCAACAGACTACCAAAGCAAAATTACTGAAAAATGTGATGTATGCTGTTTTGGTGAATTTATTTTATTGTAACATCAATAAGCCACAGCATCACAGAAATATTTTATTTAACCACCTCTTCATCAGTAATTAAAACTTTTAAATAAAAAGAACCTGTTGTGAACATTATCCTACATCTATGCACCACCTGCTGCACAACTGCTTCATCATTCTTTTGCTCTCCAGCTGCACACTTACACAAATATTTTAAAGAGCTTGCTCCATTACGCAAGGCGTGCATCAGTTGCTAAAGCAAGTGCTTCAGATACCCACTGTGATCAACAGTTACAAACTCTCATGACCGATAACACAGGTGCCAGACAAGGAGTCTGCAAGCTTGCACCACACATTTATGCTCAGTATAGTACGAAGTTCAGTTTCAGTATGTTTTTATTTTATACATTTTAATACTGTCTCCAGTTTGTAGTTCCCTTAACTTCCCCCAGGAAGAAGGAAATAAAAAACCTTAAAGTATACCTTCAACAGCTTTTCCTTGGAAATAGGTATATGCAGACCTGTTTTGGGATATGACAACTATCATTTGAGAATTCTTACCAGGTGAAGTCTAAAACAATCTCTTGAGAACAACCAGACACTACTCCCTTTGGAGTTCTTGTTCACTGACACAAGATAAGTTTATTCTCTCTAGATATTGCAGATGTTACCAAAATGTTAAAAGTTACTTACGGTTTTCCTCCAGGAATCCCTGCTAGATTTGGAGGGATTCCAGGTACTCTCATGTGAGGAGGAGGATCAAACCCAACCTGACAATGAAAAATGAATTAATCTCACACTTGCAATTTCTCATTCAGCAAGCCCCTTTTCTTCACCCCCAAGATATTACGCATTTAACCAAAATGTGTCTTTTACCCACAGTATTAGATAAGTGTACGTCCCTTCACAGTAGGGGAAAAACAAGTCAATTTCCCTATGCATGCTTCTGCTAGAAGTATTAATGTGCAAATAGAAAACCAATAATGTATATCATGCGTTCACACCACTGAGTGTAACACAAATACCCCTGTGTTAGGACAGACATAGCCCTGGAATTAGAGTCTGTGGTGTGTCGGCATGTAGCCACACCAGTGCTCTTTAGCTCTGCGACAGCTAGCGCGTACCCATGCAGGCACAGCACAATGCTGGAAAGCAGCTTCAGGCCCCAGCTAGAATCTCTGCATGGCTCCGCACTGCACTGTGTGGGTACATCAGCCAAGATCTCTCTCACGGAGCTATGCTACAGGGTGCAGACAAATTTATCTACAGCTTAAATATACTATGCTCTCTTTACACACTGCAATTCCACTAAACTTTTATATCCTGAATAAATATGTACATCAAATAATCCAAACAGAAATTCTGGACCAAATAGACTTAGTTTTTCTTCTGAACACTATACCTGAGTTAAAATTCTTATTGCTTTAAGAAGCGCATATGCTATTTATAACTTCCACGTTTTCACATAAAAGCCCTGTTTACCAGTTTGAAAAAAGTAGCCATATCTACAATAATAAGAAGATGACAAGCTTAAGTCCCATCTTGCAAATATACAAGTAGGTAAGTTTGTCTAGGCATAAAGCTGCCATCAAGCTCATGTTTGCAGAATCAGGCCCCTAGGTTATTCTGCTTGACAGCAGCTATAACTGCTATGCTCCATTTACTTACTACACCCACAACAGCCTCTATTCTTAACACACCTTATCACAGAGCTCCAAGGTATGTACAGACCAACTTTTCATGTTGATTTCCACAAAAAAAAAATACAAGGACAGAGACGTAGATAAAAAGACTTCTACATGCTTGAAGATTAATTTGAGTGTGTCTGTACAAAACACAAATCTGGTTCAGCAAGAGAAAAGCAGATGTCCACAGCACCAGTGAAATACTTTGTAGCTACCAAAACTATCTTTTAATTTAAAGCACAAAATAATTTTTTGGCATTTATTAATCACTCAAAGCATTGATGAAGGTGAAGAAAAAAGGAAACATACATAAATACACTGAGATTCTTTGTTTTCAAGGTGCAAATTTGTTTCTTTAGCCACTCAGGAAAGTGAAACACACAGTAAAGCTGTCAAGCCTCTGGCGCTGTTGTAACTTGGGAATTCAACAGTGCTAAATGAAGCATGTAGCTCTTCTCAGTGAGCCACAACTCACACGACTGAGATTGCATGCAACGTATGGCCTACCATAGGAGATCTTCCATAGGCAACCACAGCAGCTGCAGCAGCAGCAGCACTCATCTGGGGTGACATATTGTGCAGACTGGCATAGGCTGCCCCTGGACTGGTTAACTCTCCATTCATGCCAGCATGAGGTACCATTCCAAATGGAGCAGGGTACGGTCCTGGTACTGCCAATGGTGTCCGCAAACCTGCAGCTATGGAATAATGAAATCAAGTAGTTTTATTTATATATTGCTGGATAGAGGGAAGAAAACAGCCCTTTTTTTTCCCCTACAATACCTAACCTTCCCCTCCCACATACACATACTACCAAGAAACATTGCCGTAACTTATCAGTACCACCACCTCTTTTCACTCAGTGTAAATAAGATCTACTGAAGTCTGAACTTGCTGATTACTTCTAACAATTGCTTCTAGCATTACCTATTTCCATTTCTGTAATATTTCCCTGTTTACATTAATCTCTCCTTTGCCAAATTAAGCAGTAAAGCTGACAGACATGGTTTACACAGCTCATGTCTGAAGCAACTGTGCTGTACCAGCCTGAAAGCAAAAGTAAACTTCCCCTTGCATTTGTCAAGATTTACACTGCAGCAAATATTAGTAGACTCAGACAAAGAGCTAGAGAAGAGATTGCATTCAGAGTAAGTACCAGAAACTTCTAAGAAGTCTTTTTATATTGCATTCAGTCTCTGGATTATTTGCAAAAAAGATAAAGACAAAAGTAAACAAAGAAGGATAAGAGATAGAGAGATATTCAAACTCTTGATAATCCAAACATCTGCTTCTCATCAAGCCCTGTCTTGATATCAAGAACAAAGCAATACATTTAGTTAACATTCACCCAGAACTACATATGTAAAAAAAGATTAATTTTGGAACCATAAAAACATGTGAGGTAATGCATTACCAGCTTGGTTAACCAGAGGGTCCATTGTTGGAGGCTTGCCAAGGCCTGGACGAAGTCCTGGAGTTGCACTAGTGCCTGGGGTTGGCACATCACTTCGAGGAGTTGGTGTGCTGGATTTCAGAACAGGCGTGCTGGCTTTTTCATGCTGGTATCATTAAACAAATTAAATGAGTATTATTTTTAATCCAGGCCATATTATACAATTTATCACAACAGCAGCTGGGATGCTGGGCATCTACTACCTACTCCCTCAGCCAATTTTCATAAATCCACGCAATGCTGACAACATTAACTTGTGAGAGAGAAATGCTGACCTTTTTGATTGCTGCCAAAATTAAAATAAGAAAAGAAACATAGAAAGTTATTTTTCTTTCTTCCATTGGCATGAAAAAAAATGCCTGAGCTAATTTTTTTCAGGACAATATAGTATGCATCACCAAATTATTTTAGCCTGAAATCATTACTGTCTCAATTATTGTTGGACCCAGCAAATCTAAGTACAAAACCAAAATACCACCATAGTTGATAGTATCAAAAAATTGTGACACAAAAGCTACAGACAATCTAATAAAATTATTAAGGATACTGCAGAAAAAGTTTTTGAAGAGTAACAGCTTATTTAGAAAAGTTTAACAAAAGCCTGGAGAACTTCTTAGTGACTATATATAGACTATGTTAAACCACACAGAAAAAGAAGAAAGAAAAAATAAACAATGCTTAAATTCGCCAATCATTTGACAGAAATGTAGGAAATAAAAAAAATCAAAATGAAACAGAAAGTATTGCTGAGAAGGAAAGTTGAATAATACTATAAAGGTCTGGAAAAACAGTAGTCTATTTCAGCTTCAAATATTTGAAGCCATGTACTTTCTGCCACAAGTAGTTGCAGGAGAATGGAGAACTAACACTTTGCAAGAATAAAAACATTTATCTGGACAACAGACTGCTACCCACCAGACTCATTTCTTTGGATTTAAGGGAAGTAGAACTTCCTGAAGAGGCCGTAGATGCTGGACTGCTAGAGGCATCTTTCTTCAGCAGGCGGTTTTTATCTATACCGTTTTCACGTGGTGAATGAGTGGGACTTGCCCTTGGGGAAGAAGGATCCTAAAACAATGGGAAGGGAAGAACAGCACAGAACTGCGTCATAGGTTGGTACACAACCACCACTAAGGAGTCTATGGGAAAAAAAGCTAGAAGAATTTAGGCAGTACGTTCAAATGACATTTTGTTATCCCTATAGAAAAAAAGCTGAAATCCCTTCATCAATTTAGAGACATAAGTAAGTTCATATAGTAAGCAATCTGGTTTTATTTTACATTACATGTAGTCATAAACTGTTTCCAAACATAGAGCTTGCAATCTAAGTATACCTAAGTACAAACTAAGGCAAGCACACACAACACATAGCAAGAGCAAGAAAGACCAACAGTAACTGCACTAAGTTTACACTGTTTTTTTCTATGTACATTCTCCACACACTCCTAGTGACAACAAACATTTCAATAATCTCTTTTAGGCCATACAAACCTTGCTCATCTCTGTCTTCAGAAGGAGAGGTTAAGACACATGCTTTATATGCCATAATATCTGTCACTCCTCGCTAAATACCATCTGTAATAGCCTCGCTACTTAAATCTACAGAAAAAACTGAAAGCACCTCTCAGGTGATTATCTCTCTCTCTTCCAGAGGTACTCTCTGTATTTACTTCAACCTGAAATAGCGAGCCCAGCAAGCTACAATGCCATCAGAGCTCTACAGGTTCTCCATGCTCCTTTGGCTCATGAGAATAGCAGCAGGGAAGAAGCAGTCCTCACAAGAGGGCACTAAGTCTACTGACTGATTATTGAGCAGTTTCATCATAAGTAGGGCTTCTGAAAGGCTCACTAAAATCCCTAGTTGGATACCCATTTTTCTACTTGGCAGACATCATTTGGGCACTCGGAGCTGCTGAAGACACTTCTTCTCTGTCAGCTTCTCTCCCTGTGCTTTTCACAGGGCAAAACCACCTCACTACCATATTCAGGCTTCCTAAATCTCTTTGTTGTATGAAATAAAAGATGAAGAAAAGGGAAGGCCCATCAGTTCACCTTGATGCCACTGCCAAATCTCTGCACTGGAGAAAGTTAAGTGGCTACAATGTCTGGCAAATTTTGTGAACTGACTGACTTCATTCTGACTTCAGCTGACCTCATTATAAAAACCAACACTTCTGGAAAATGCTGTATTTAACATACAATGTTAAAATACTAGTAATATTTGAGGTACCAAAAATGTTCTTAAGAATACTCCCGCTATTAAATACAAGGTTAGGTATTGCCTTCTTTTTTCATTTGAAGACAGTAGTTTGAAAGCCTCAGCCCTCCACCAGCATCTCACCACAACTCTCTCCACTACAGAGCAGCTGTGAAGCATCAGAATGTAACTGCAGAGGGAACAGAACTGGACAAAACAGCTGAAGGAAAAGCCAAGAGGGCAACCAGATAAAGCTCAGAGGAAGACACGGCAACCGCAGTACTAACAAAAAGGAGAAGTTGTGAATATTTTAACATATCCACACAGAGGATTCTTTTTCTTCTAACATCTAAATGCACTTTTCCTTTAACCTTTGGGCAAATGTCAAGACTACAAAAATGAAAAAAGTTACCTCATTGGATACATCTACAACCAAGTTATCGTCACTCTTGTCCCCATCACTGTCCTATTAAAAATAAATAAATATAGTGTTCATTTCAATTAGTACATTAAGAGCCCAGAGAGAAAGACTACGCATCTACTCAGACATTTTTTGTTTTTCCTAAACAAAAAGCAAACAACCTTTCATTACCTTATTACCAATAGGGAAAACAATGAAAACAGGAGCTCAGCACCTTATTTGTGCTTCAATAATAAAACGCAAATAAGGCAGAACTAGTTGAAAGGTGGTGGTCTCACCATCAGTGCAAGATGGTCCAAACCCCCTCCTTATTACCATCAAAAACAGTGTTGTCACTACTCCTGAAAGAGAAACTCATTCTGTTCGTATGCTAATCTTACTTGTTAATCTTATGGAAATTACTGCTTGTGCATACCTGAAAAAACAACAGATCTCAGAAAACTGGAGCTTTTTGGCATTTGTTTGATGAATCAACTTCCTCAAAGTGATAGGACAATTTTTCTCCTTTTCCAGAAAGGAAAGTTTTGAAATGGAAAGTTCTGGGGAAGAAAAAGCTTCAGGAATGTTTCAACATTTCTGCCTAACAAAACCAAAATACTTCTGACATTCCTAAATAGAAATGTTTTATTGTGGCTTGTCAGTCTGCATTTTGACTGTTTCACATAAATCTGTGTTCAGCTGAGCTGCTCTAGTGCCTCGTGATAGCTGTTACTCAAGTGCCTTCTGGTCCCTATCTCCAAAATGGGCTGGGATGCCCCAGTAGACACATTCTATGATACACAGTGGTTTAGTGATTTCTTCAGTGCACCATGGTGGTTCACCCAGAAGGTGAGTCTTGACTCAAAAATGAGAACAAACAAACAAACAAAAAAAACCAAGTGAATGACAAAACTTAAAATTTTCATGTGGGCAAGTTTGACATTTCCAATAACAAAACTTTTAGTTAAAAAGATTCTAGGCAAACAAATCAGACGTACAAGATTGCTCAAATTGTCTCCCATCTCTTGCTTTCAAAGTGTCTGGGCTATCACACTTAACACTGGCAGACAGAAAGTAAAACAACAGTTCCTTCCTCTCACTTTAGGCCATAAGTATTTAAACATATTAGGGACCCAAGAGTGCCACTGAAGACAGAATAGTGGCTCTATCTGCCACTCAGGAAGCTGTCCAACCAAAGAGTGCAAAAGGAGAAGGAACAGGAAAGCTTCAGGCCTGGTTATCTGCCACCTCTTGAAAAGTATGAAGCACCCAGAAGGCAAGAACAGGTTAGAACACCTTTGAGCATGTGGGAGCACAGTAGACGGGACACTTGTTCACCAGAAATACCACCCCTGAGGAGGGCAAAAATAGCTTCCAAGCAATGATTACGTGCACTCCACTGACTTTGTCATATTGAGAAATAGAAATTTACCGGGCTTACCAAAGGCATCTCCTACAGGTGCTATTAATGTCAGAAGATTCTCCTCACTAACAAACCCACAGGCTGAAACTATACAGGTCCTAACATGAAAATTAGTCAGAAGTCAAAAAGGAAAACAAAACAAAACAAAAAATGCATTTTGCATCGTATTTCCAAAAGCAACAATTCCTACAACTCATTTATCTCTCTTCTGACAAAAGCAGCACTTCCTTGTCCCTACAAGGGCCTCAATTAAAACGAGCTTGAAATCAGCAGCTCTGTGTTTGCAGAATTGGGGAACCTTTAGGAAGAAAAATCTTCTTCCAGATTAGAATAAGTCTGGAACTTTCAAATATCATTGTTTGGCTCAACTCTTTATTTTGATGCTGCCTTTGTTTGTAAAATCCATTTCAAGCGAACAGCAAACAGAACCACACATTTAAAATAAGGATTAAAACAAACTGTTTCTACAGTGCAATAGTATCCTTTCCATTTCTTTCCAGTAGAAATACAAGAAAAACAAGCAAGTTAAGCTTTTTCTTCCTTTATTTTTTATAGCAAATGTAGCTTAAGAATGCTTAATCTTCAAATATTTAAAATTAAAAATGCCCATAGAATATCAAACCCTCAAAGTTGAGGGAGTAACACAGGGAAGTTTGCCAAACCTTTCTGTAATCAAAACAAGATTATTAGAAAGTGGTGGAAATAGAACTTGCAAAACCGTAACAGTACTACACCACAATGTGCAGAAAGGGGAAAGGAACCCCATCTACTCTCAGCAGCTCCAGGGATATCCAATAGCTGCTCAGAGATATTCTGGGTCCAAGCAGAGAGAAATTACCCTACCAAATACCAAGGAAATAAAGCACCCCCTGATTTTCTCTTGGGTTTCATTAACTAGGAAGTAGTAAGTGACTAGATTCATATAAACCAGACAATTTGCCACATTATTGCTATGTCAAATAATAGTATCTTCTGTTAAATTTAAGTTCTGCTTTTCAGTACTCTTTCACACCAGCCCTAGTCTCTAAAGCCTGTTCAAGTATCATCCTATGACGATGCATTTAGACTTGGCTGAGCATTTAAGACTTGAAGTTGAACACCCGTGTGAGCCTTCTGAGGTTCACATATGCCACGCTGTTGTACTGAAGCATCTCTTTGAAACCAAGTGAGAAGCAAGCTAGTAAAAAATGCAGATCATAAACTGTGAACTTTTTATATTTCAATTTGCTTTCTGCTGAAAC